GTTAGAGTATGTAGGAAAGAGGGAAATTTTTTCCCAGTAAAAGTAGGCCTTAGACAAGGATGTGTGATGTCACCGTGGTTGTTTAATATATTTATAGATGGGGTTGTAAGAGAAGTAAATGCGAGGGTCTTGGCAAGAGGCGTGGAGTTAAAAGATAAAGAATCACACACAAAGTGGGAGTTGTCACAGCTGCTCTTTGCTGATGACACTGTGCTCTTGGGAGATTCTGAAGAGAAGTTGCAGAGATTGGTGGATGAATTTGGTAGGGTGTGCAAAAGAAGAAAATTAAAGGTGAATACAGGAAAGAGTAAGGTTATGAGGATAACAAAAAGATTAGGTGATGAAAGATTGAATATCAGATTGGAGGGAGAGATATGGAGGAGGTGAACGTATTCAGATATTTGGGAGTGGACGTGTCAGCGGATGGGTCTATGAAAGATGAGGTGAATCATAGAATTGATGAGGGAAAAAAGAGTGAGTGGTGCACTTAGGAGTCTGTGGAGACAAAGAACTTTGTCCTTGGAGGCAAAGAGGGGAATGTATGAGAGTATAGTTTTACCAACGCTCTTATATGGGTGTGAAGCGTGGGTGATGAATGTTGCAGCGAGGAGAAGGCTGGAGGCAGTGGAGATGTCATGTCTGAGGGCAATGTGTGGTGTGAATATAATGCAGAGAATTCGTAGTTTGGAAGTTAGGAGGAGGTGCGGGATTACCAAAACTGTTGTCCAGAGGGCTGAGGAAGGGTTGTTGAGGTGGTTCGGACATGTAGAGAGAATGGAGCGAAACAGAATGACTTCAAGAGTGTATCAGTCTGTAGTGGAAGGAAGGCGGGGTAGGGGTCGGCCTAGGAAGGGTTGGAGGGAGGGGGTAAAGGAGGTTTTGTGTGCGAGGGGCTTGGACTTCCAGCAGGCATGCGTGAGCGTGTTTGATAGGAGTGAATGGAGACAAATGGTTTTTAATACTTGACGTGCTGTTGGAGTGTGAGCAAAGTAACATTTATGAAGGGATTCAGGGAAACCGGCAGGCCGGACTTGAGTCCTGGAGATGGGAAGTACAGTGCCTGCACTCTGAAGGAGGGGTGTTAATGTTGCAGTTTAAAAACTGTAGTGTAAAGCACCCTTCTGGCAAGACAGTGATGGAGTGAATGATGGTGAAAGTTTTTCTTTTTCGGGCCACCCTGCCTTGGTGGGAATCGGCCGGTGTGATAATAAAAAAAAATAAAAAAAAATTATTAGGTAGTTGAAATCGGTAAATGGGCAGTTTCTTGTACTCAATCGATAGAAAAAAAATGGAGTTCTAAAGAAATAGCTATGAGTTTGGGCGACTGGAACAATGGAATTAGCCGAAAATAGGGCTCAAAGTTGGCGAAATCTCCAATTTGTAAACAGCGCCGAGGTCGCTAACTTTGCGAGAGCATAATTCCGTCAGTTTTCCATCAAATTTCGTTTTTTTTGTGTCATTACAATCGGGAAAAGATTCTCTTATCATTTCATAAGAAAAATAATTTTTTTTTTTTTTAAATTTTGCGACACCAGGAGACACCTCAGGATTGGGGGTTGCGACAGTCAAAGGGTTAATCCAATTAATCCAGAACTACTGGAGCTAGCTTTTAAAAACTATAGTTAAAAAATACCTTATCTCCTTAACCTATCCCAGCCTATCATAAATACATATGTAAAAACTATACATACATTTGCTCAGTATCATGAACATAGGCAAAACTTTCAATCAATATACAGTGGACCCCCACCTTATGATTTCATCACCTTACATTAACCCTTAAACGGTCCAAAGAGATCATCATTCAAATTCGTAGTGCTACAAAAGTAGATCTACTTTTTTTACATATTTTCAAATATAACAAAAAAAATGTAAATAAAAGTTTTTTTACACGTTTTCAAATGTAAAACGAAAAATATCTACATTTTTTTACATACTTTCAGATGTTGAAAAAACGTATATATACGTTTGGACCATTTAAGGGTTAAATCCACCATACGATACATTTTAATGCAAAAATTTTGTCTCACCTCACACTAAAAAACTCACCTCATGCGATTTGTCCCGGGCGTCCCAAGCGTGGCCTGAGCGTACCCCAGCTGCCCCGTCGGTGCCAGTGTTTACAAGCCAGCCAGTGCGGTCACATCCACGCATACAATCAGTACATTTCATATTATCACAGTGTTTTTAGTGATTGTACCTGCAAAATAAGTCACCATGGGCCCCAAGAAAGCTTCTAGTGCCAACCGTGCGGTAAAAAAGGTGAAAATTACTATGGAAATGAAGAAAGAGATAATTGCTAAGTGCGAAAGTGGAGTGCGTGTCTCAGAGCTGGCCAGGTTGTGTACCAAACCCCAATCAACCATCACTACTATTGTGGCCAACAAAACGGCAATCAAGGAAGCTGTTCATGCAAAAGGTGCAACTTTGTTTTTGAAACAGAGATCACAAGTACTCGAAGATGTAGAGAGACTGTTATTGGTGTGGATGAACGAAAAACAGATGACAGGAGATACCATCTCTCAAGCGATCATATGTAAAAAGGGTGGGAAATACGTACTATCGTACCATGGTCAGCTGTTGCTGCACCACCGTCAGCTGTTGCTGCACCACAGTCAGCTGCTGCTACACCACCGTCAGCTGTTGCTGCACCACGGTCAGCTGTTGCTGCACCATGGTCAGCTGCAGTTGCACCACGGTCAGCTGCTGCTGCACCACAGTCAGCTGCTGCTACACCAAAGTCAGCTGTTGCTGCACCACAGTCAGCTGTTGCTGCACCACGGTCAGCTGCTGCTGCACCAAAGTCAGCTGTTGCTGCACCACAGTCAGCTGTTGCTGCACCACGGTCAGCTGGTCCTAGTGGCATTAAAAGAAGAAGGGAAGTAACCCCGGAAAAGGATGTGCTACCTAAAGTCCTAACGGAAGGGGATTCCCCTTCTAAACATTAACAACTTCCACACTCTCCCCTCCTCCCATCCCATCAATCATCACCAGATCTTCAATAAAGGTAAGTGTCAGTTTGTGTGTATTAAAATTAATATTTCATGTGGTAAAAAAAAAAATTCGTACTTTGTGGTGTCTTGCACAGATTAATTTTATTTCCATTATTTCTTATGGGGAAAATTAGCTTTATGATGAGCTCTCAGGAACGGATTAATATTGTAAGGTGGGGGTCCACTGTATACTTACTCTCATTATCTGTAATCACCTTAGTTGTGAATCACAAGACTTATTAAAGCCATATAGCATGACCTAATAGAATACTCAAGTCTTTTGTATTCTTTGTAGCTCATCTAATGACTATATGTACTATTTTGCCCTATTAATCTTAAGTTAGTTTTAAGTTTGCCTGAAGTGCTCTGCATATAAAGGGCTTTTGGCATGTACACCCAACTATTACATTTCTTTATTTATTTATTTACTTATTTATTTACAATTTGAGCACACATACAGAGGTACAAAAAAATACAGATAAGAGCAGCATGCCAAAGCCACTTATACTATGCATAGCATTACGGGCTGGCTTAAAATTAACTTAAGATTAACTAAGCAATGATGAAATCAGTGATAAAACATTAATGTAAACAGATTACTATAAAGCACAAGTGAGTATTACAAAGACAGGTCATATGGTTGCATGCATTGTTGTACATTCAGTTGTATGGAGTATTCTGTTAGGTAGTGTATTTAAAAAATAATAAAGTTAGATTGGGTTTTAGGTTTAACATTTATGTGATATAATTGTGAGAAACATTTAAGATATACAATTTATAAGGTTCAGTTATTCAGTATTTATTTGGTTTTGGGTGAGTAGGTGATCTTTGAGAAGAGACTTGAATTTATAAACAGGTAGTGTTTCTTTTATATTTACAGGTAATGAATTCCAGATTTTAGGGCCTTTTATGTGCATTGAGTTTTTGCATAGTGTGAGATGGACACGAGGAACATCAAAGAGTGATCTATGCCTTGTGTTATGGTCATGTGTTCTGTTGAGGTTGGCAAGGAGATGTTTGAGGGGAGGGTTAATATCAGAGTTAAGTGTTCTATGTATGTAATAGGTGCAGTAATAAGTATGGATGTTTTGTATGGTGAGTAGGTTTAGTGTATTGAATATTGGTGGAGTGTGCTGCCTGTAGTGAGAATTTGTTATCATTCTAACTGCAGCCTTTTGTTGGGTAATTAGTGGTCTGAAATGGTTAATTGTTGTTGAGCCCCATGCACAAATTCCATAGGTGAGATAGGGGTAAATAAGAGAGTGATATAGGGCCAGGAGGGCTGACTGTGGAGCATAGTACCGTATCTTCGATAGTATGCCTACAGTCTTGGAAATTTTCTTAGAAATTTGTTGTATATGTGTATGAAATTTGAGTCTATTATCAAGGTGGATTCCTAAGAATTTTCCCTCTGTTAGCTTTGTGATAGGTGATCCATTTATCATTATGCTAAGAGGGACATCTGTAGCTCTGTTACCAAACTGAATGAGTAGGTTTTGTCAATGTTTAGTGTAAGTTTGTTAGTCCTCATCCAGGTAGATATTTTCTGTAATTCGGTATTTACAGTATTGGCTTGCGTGACTGGGCTCGGGTGGGACAAACTTGTATCATGTCAAAATAAATTCTTATTATTAATTTACATTATTTCTAATAGGAAAAATTGATTCAATGTTCATACAGCTTACTGTTCAAACAACCTCCTGGAATGGATTAAGTTTGAATATCGAGGTACCATTGTAATAATAATATGAATTATGCATACTAGTATATCATAAAGTGTGATCACTATCATGTACTGGTATGTGATGAACAACCTAAGGGTTAATACAAGTATGAAAATAATGACATTTAATGGAACAGTTATTTTAAGAGACTATCATTTAGAAGTTGTGTATTTAAGTTAGGGTGAATGTGCATAAGACAAACCTGCATAAAGCAAGGGAGGGAGACCTCAAATATTACTCTAATGGTAAAAAAAAAAATGTTATTACGATTCTGATTTTTCAGGTGTCCATCACCTCCTGTGTGTCTTGCCTCTCATGACTCTATAAGCAAGGCCACAGCACTGCTTGCAGAAGCACAGCGACCTCTGGTGGTGGTGGGCAAGGGAGCTGCTTATGCTGGTGCTGAAAATCAAGTACAGAAGTTTTTAGAAAAAACTGGTTTACCTTTCTTGCCAACACCAATGGGTATGAAGCCATTGCATTTGCATCTCTTATTTGTAATTGTATGTGCTAAACTATCTTCATATTACATTGTATACATTATTATAAATAACAGATATTTAAAGTTTCTTATTTGTTTTTTTTATTATTAACACATCGGCCGTTTCCCACCAAGGGAGGGTGGCCCGAAAAAGAAAAACTTCCATCATCATTCTCTCCATCACTGTCTTGCCAGAAATGTGCTTACGCTACAGTTATAAAACTGCAACATTAACTTCCCTCCTTCAGAATGCAGGCACTGTACTTCCCATCTCCAGGACTCAAGTCCAGCCTGCTAGTTTCCCTGAATCCCTTCATGAATGTTTCCTTGCTCACATTCTAACAGCACATCAAGTCCTAAAAATCATTTGTCTCCACTCAATCCTATCTAACACGCTCACACATGCTTGTTGTAAGTCCAAACCCCTCGCACACAAAACCTTTACCTTCTCCTTCCAACATTTCCTGACTGACCCCTACCCCACCTTCCCTCCACTACAGAGTTACATGCTCTCCAAGTCAGTTTATTTTGTTCCACCCTCTCTACATGTCCAAACCACCTCAACAACCCCTCCTCAGCCCTCTGGATAAGAGTTTTGGTAATCCCACACCTCATCCTCATTTCCAAACTATGGATTCTTTGTATTATATTCACACCACACATAGCCCTCAGACACAACATCTCCACTGCCTCCAGCAACATTTACCACCCATGCTTCACACCCATGTAAGATGTAAGAGTGTTGGTATAACTATACTCTCATACATTCCCCTCTTTGCTTCCATGGATAGCTTTCTTTGTCTCAGGCTCCTCAGTGTACCACTCACCTTTTCCCCATCATCAGTTCTATGATTCTCCTCATCTTTCATAGATCCAAGAATAAAAAGAGGGATTTTTTTTTAATTTAAATTCAAAATTTATATACATAACTGAAAAATTCATACTGTCAGAGATCTGTCTGCAAACAAATAAAAAAAGGAAATCTTGTATAGCATTTAAAAAAATTAAAATTAAAAATATTTTAACCTGATTAAAATTAAAAAAAAAATTAAAAAATGTCTGAAGTTCAGGGAGCATTTCAGAGTCAAAACATTGAAAAAAAAAAAATTCTTTGTAATAAATTTTTGGCTTATGAGAGATTTTTTCAAGTTGAGATTTGAATTTTTGTTGTTATTCAGATAGCTTTAAATTTTAACCCTTTCACTGTCCACTTAAGGTAATAAAACAAAAAGTATGAAATTTGATGGAAAATTGACAAATCACACTTTTTGTCAGAGCATCATTCCTTTTAAAAATTACATGAGAATGGAAGTGTTGGTCTTTATTTATTCTGCTGTACCACTGTGGAGACAACTTGTATACAATTTAAGGTGTTTGTATGAATGTTTATGAACCACAACCAGACGCATCGTCTGTTTGTTTACATAGTGGGTGGGGTAGCCAAGCTGGCTTCCCTACACTATCCTACCTACCACACCACTTTCTACAAATAAATACTTTTCACCTTTCACCCTACATTAACCCTTTCAGGGTCCACAGGCCCTCTCTGAGACTTGCTCTCAGGGTCACCCAAATTTCAAAAAAAAAAAATTATTTTTCTTATGAAAAGATAGAGAATCTTTTCCCGATCATAATGACACCAAAAGTATGAAATTTGATGGAAAACTTACGGAATTATGCTCTCATGAAGTTAGCGGTCTCGACCATGTTTACACATCGGCGATTTTGCTCACTTTGATCCCTATTTTCGGCCAATTCCAGTGTACTAGTCGACAAAAATCATAACTATTTCGCTAGAACTCCATTTTTTCTATCAAATGAGTACAAGAAACCACCCATTTACCAATTTCAACTATCCAATACAGTGATCAGAATTTAGCAATTTTGCCAATCTCACACAAATTTCAAAAGATGCCAATTTCCGAATAGGGTCCAGAATAAACAAGAAAGACATTCCTGGCACTAAAATAACATTTCCTCTGTTCGTTAGTCACGTCCCCGCGCCCCTCTTACATTCTTTTGCTTTTCATTTTGAATTTTTCTTCTCACAAAAAAATAGAAGATTTACTGTTATGCAGACTACTGCATTAGTGTAGAAATGGTATAAATAATACCAGCGCACTTGTGAAAGAATATTAGACTCACCAGTTGACGTGTATTGGACGTTTGGCATGATTTGTTTACTTTTGAACTTTGGTAAAAATCGAACATTTCTGCTACTTTGAGCTCAATTTCAAGGTACTTTTCATTGTAAAACCAGTCATTCTATAAAATGAAACCAGGAAAACTAGAATACAACAATAAATACCATACGAAAATGCAGTGCAAAGTCGCTGTTTTAATCCAAAAACACGGTCAAAGTTTTTTTTTTCTCATAACGCACTGTGTATTGCAGGATTTTTTTTATACTGCGCACACTGACCACATAGACCCATTCTTTCATATGTAGGCCTACCAGCTTTCTCTCACTAGATTTGAGGGCGCTAGAATTTAGGCGTACTAGCACATCAGAAACCCTGGTGCGTAAGCCATACTAGTATGGCTGAAACCCTGAAAGGGTTAATTTTATAAGTCAGAAAAAATTTTCCCCTCCAGAGTCTCTACTCTGGAATCCTTTACCCACAAGTTGTGTGCAAACTAGGGTATCCCACTTCTGTTTGGGCCATCCTTGCTACAAAACAGTCTTCTCAAAATATGAAAAATATCTATCTGGGTCACTCTCTGTAAACTTAGGGACAAAATTTGCAGTTTTATTTACGTTAAAATACTGCTCAGGCTCTTGTTCTGAACCTCCTAACCTTTGACGTTCTTCCTCCTTAGCTTTCATTAATTTCATTTCAGCCTCTAGCACAGCTAATTTAAGTCTCATGCTCTCCATTTCCATATCACCTGGAGTAGGTGATCCCTCATGTTCACTGTTACCAGGCATGTTTACTGATGAATTATTACCTTCCTCCCTGAAACCTGAAAAGTTTAAAGACTCAACTTCTGACATAGTTTTTATCTTTAAACACTTGCTTCCCTCTTACAGTATCAGTGGACAAATTTTTCTCACAGGCAAATAAAGTAACACAAGTTGAATGTAAACTATGCACATAACACTTACCATAACCACAACAAAAATGTGTTACTCAACCTTTCTCCCACCTTAGGAGAAAAACAACCTGTAAACTAATATATGAAAACAACACTTCCACTGACACCACCTTGGTAAATCTTCTACCAGAAACATGCAACTCTTGTTACCCCATAACAGTACATATAGTTCAAAGAATGTTTTGAGTTTTTTAGTAGTCAAATAACTCTCCCAGTCAGGCCCCCATGTTATGTTGTTGTCCCTTATTACTTTGATAGTAAGGTTCTCACTAGATGTCCTAGTGTGGGGTAGCTTTTTACATACAGGCCTTATCAGTCTAGGGTAATACTTACATTCATGATCGATCATCCTCAGTCTCTGAAATCCTTTCACCAGCCCTCTTCACAGGTTATTTAAACTAATTCCACCACAAAATAGATACTTATATTCAGGTAGATATATACGGAATATACAATATACAAAACATAAGTCTACACATTCCTTAGCTGCTCTCCTGGGAACAGCCCACATGGTGCTTCTCAGCAATTTGCCCTTCTCTCTTTTTGACAAATCTCTGGACTAACCAGTGTTTTGGCACACTTTAGCCACCCTGGGTAAGGTGGCTACAACTTAAGGTATAAAACTCACCCCTGGAGCACACATAATGCCCAAAAATAAAAAGAAGGACCCAGAGGTCCTACCAACTTGAAGCCAACAAGGAGAATGAGGGAGAGGGAGGAGCCTAGCTAAGCTCCTCCCACACCCACCAAAACAACAAAAGACTGTTGCCAAGCATAATTCTCTAGTTACCACAATTCTACCACATCTTATTTTACTTTTACAAAAAGAAATACAACTTTATAAACTAATTATTTAAATTGTGTGTGTGTGTCTACAGTATAACCTATTATATTGAGAAAAACAGGCTTGACTCAGCTGCCTTACAGCCATAAGGGTCATCTGCCCTTATGACATTTAGGCTGAGTCCCCATCAATTCAATATAATTAGGTATTCCAGAGTAACTGTTACTTATATACATCAATATGTGTTGGGTCCCATAGTCCCATAACACCTTCCTCTTGCCTCCTACCAACCTCCTACACCAACAAGAATCAATAAATGTTAAGTGTGATGTTAAATGTTCATTTATCCATTTTATTAGTGCTTTATATTTATTTGTCATTGTTTTCTGTATGTAAATCTATATTTAATCTTTAAAAAAATTATTTTTTGTTAATACTTTTGGCTGTCTGAAACGGATTAATTGGGTTTCCATTATTTCTTATGGGGAAAATAGATTCGCCAATCATGAATTTTGCCACTCGGCAGACTCTCTGGAATGGATTAATCACGAAACTCCGGGGTCCACTGTACATGCATGTGTAGTGTGACCTACATGCAAGTAGAAGTAGCAAGATGTACCTGAAATCTTGCATGTTAATGAGACAGAAAAAAGACACCAGCAATCCTACCATCATGTAAAACAATTACAGGCTTTCGTTTCACTTGGTAGGACAGTAGTACCTCCCTGGGCGGTTGCTGCCTGCCAATCTACTACCTAGTATCAAAGTTTTATGAAGTTTATTTTTGGTTCAGACATGTATGCGCAGAGCCCCAGACCGACATAATGAGATTAGTCACGAGGGAGCCTTCACCAAATTCAACTTCAATAACAAGAACATAAAGTGGGACCAAGTCCTAACCGATATAAGCTGGGAAGATAGACTAAGCAACACAGACCCCAACTTATGCCTAGAACAGATTAACTTGGTGGCACTTGATGCATGCTCAAGGTTTATTCCTTTAAGAAAAAGGAGGAGTAGATGTAAAATAGAAAGAGACAGGCGCTCCCTTTACAGACAAAGAAAAAGAATAACAGAGCGGCTAAAAGAGGCCAATATATCTGA